GGGGCTGCTGAATTTTGTGGGTGTTTCTTTTCAACTTAACACGTCTCTGAGAAAAAGGTCTTTTGATGTTTGGGCACTTTCCTTTAGTTTTTAGTCTGAATTATGCCACAAGCAATTGAAATTCATATTTTTCTTCTAGCAGTCATTTTCCTGAAAAAACTACTGTTTATCTGATATTCTTTGTCCAGATCTATCCTTTTTATCATGACAGAGACATGGAGATCGTTGGCTGAAGTGAATCTGTGCAGCCTCAATGAAAATAATACTTAAACTTTTTAGACAGAAAGAATGTATGAAAAAAATCTTACAAGACCTACCATCTGGGAGTTACCTGGCTCCACAAAAGTGTCTGAAAGTTAGTGAAGTGAATGACTTTTCCCTTAGCTGGCTTGTGGCCTATTCGTTAGTTAATGATCACAAAGACTAAGCCGTAGGTACAGGCGGTACCATTTACATTTCAGTCTCAGGGAGGCTTAAAGTGTCTGGCTGCTACGAAACCATGCGAGGGATTATTAATATATTGCTCATCCGTTGTGATATATTGCTCACTGTGAACAAGTTGAAGGTCACGGCGTGCACCGGTTTGGGTGTAGCATGGGAAGGTGCTCAGCTGCAAAACTGGACTCAGCCTGCGTTCTTTGAGAGAAAAATCAGCCTGCAGAAACGCTGAGGTGCGGTGCACGACACTCCTCAGGAAGAAGTGTTGTTAGGGCAACTCCCTTCTCACCCGAAATCTTTGCATGCAACTTCTCCGAGCTCTCAACCTCTCTTGGGACCTCACAGCATAGGGCAGTTGGGGCACTTTTACTTCACATCTGTGCAGGTTCCCTTGCTGAAATGCACAGCCTAATTCAGCATGGCTTTTTATTCTCTTCATGGGTGGGTAAACTAGTGCACGCAACAAGAAGACTCAGCCTGACCCTCTGTCCAGCACAGGCTCTGCAATATTACCTGTGGGTCCTTGCAAGGATGCTGAGCGCTGTACAAAGGCTGAACCTGGCAACTGAACAGAGGGACCCTGTGGGTTCAGGTGGCTCCACCTTCACGTCCCTTGGAGGATGTTTGACTGTGCAGCCCACTGCTTCTGTCTCCTTTTGGATGTTCAGCTGTGGACTTTCTGGGTGAATGTCGATCTCCTTGCTGATGTTAGCTAGTGTGGTACATGGCCTCTATGCATCATCACCTAGTTCTCAGGTGATGATAAGATGTTTTGCAAATGCTCGGGCATGATGTGTTGCAAGTGGCAGTTTCCAATGATGGCCTCCAGCTGCAGTAGTGACAGTGTTTCCAGAGCTCCTCATTCACTCCTTGGTTTGCATCCTGAAGTTGTCAGCCTGGACATTTCCACGTAAGGTGGGATGAGAATGTTGACCTCAAGACACCTGCCATTGTGGGTACCCAGGGCACAAAAGGCACTGGGCATGTCAGCTGGCTAACAGCCAGCTCCTGCCGTGTGTGCCTGTCGTGGATTAGGCCGATCCGGCAACTAAACCCCAAGCAGCTCTTCCACTCCAGTAAAGTGGAGAGGAGAAAAATGTAATAAAAGAGCTGAGGGTTGAGACAGGAACAGAGGAGCACCCACCAACCACGGTCCCGGGCAAAAGCGGCTGTTTTCTTACAGCAAAACAGTTTATTAACAGCTACCTACAAAGAGAAAAGCACACAAAAACGGTTACTTAAGAGATAACAAGAAAACAAGGCCAGATCTTAAAAACAACACCACTCCCCCCCTTTGCCTTCTCTTCCCGGATCTACCTCCTCCCCCCAGCGGCACAGGGGGCAGCGAATGGGGGAGTGCAGGTCAGTTCATTCCATGTTGTTACTGCTGCTTCTCTTAAAGGAGAAGGAGTCCTTCCATTGTCCCTTGCTCCAGTGGATCCTCTACTCACGGGAAAGCATGAGGTCCTACCCGCTAGGAGGCAAATCCTTACCCCATCGGATTGCCCCAGGTGCGGGCTTTACCAGTCCTGGACTTTTAAGGAGCTGTGGCCACTTGTTCTAGCGTGGGTCATCATACAGACTTTAAATGCGCTCCGGTGTGGGTCATCATATCGACCTTAAATGCGTCGTCATACAGACTTAGATGCGTAAATGCATAAATGCGCCTTGACCTGTGCCCAGGATTCACAATAGTCTCAGGCTCAGGCATCTCCTTTAACAAAACACCTCCCCATCGTGTCCGTGGGTTGTCCCACGGACTCTAGATGCGTACCGTGCTCAGGCTCTGGCATCTCTTCTCGACGTGGATCCTCCACGGACTGCGCGTG